TATTCTTAATCATACTCTATTTGTAGGAGTTGGCTTAAAAGCCTTCTCCAGTTCACATCGCTTCATTTGTTTTATTCACTGCTTCTCCGCTTCGCTTTGTTGGTGTGTCCCGAATAAACGTATTCATCATTACGAATTCATGTTCTGATTTATAAACCATCAGACGCTATTTAGTAACGATCATCTGGACGAGTTAATTACCGAGCATAAGAACACGCAGTAAATCGACACACTACAAAATTATACACTTTTAACAATATCAACATATTTCATAAAGTGTGAAAAAAAAATAAATGCTACTACATGTAAAACATGTAAATTAATTAAACCGGTTAAAATATGAATACAAATTAAAACAAAAAAACGAACCTGCTAATTTCAGATAAACAAAATCCACCAATTAATTCACCAGATGCTAATTTTGGTAAATAATATAATTTTTGTTCTTTTGTACCAAGTAATGATATTGTCTAGAGAAAAAGTAAAAACAAACAAAGATAAAAGTCATCAAAAGGAATCATATTTTATTCATTATGAGGAGAGTTGGTGTTTGTTATAGATTAATTTGAATTGAAGGGGAGGGGCATTAATTGATAGCTAAACGGACTGAATAGATGTTTCCTACGAGTACGGAATTCCTATCTAAGGAAGCCAGTTACCTCATTTGACACAAGGTCCGAACATTAAAAGCTCCAACATGTAGCTTAGAATGAAGCCAATGTTACTTCCCCGCTATACACACCATGGAAGTGTGGTTCTTGAGGAACCTGAAGAAGAAGTTGGATTAGTGCTGGTCTGAGCGACCTGGGAGCGTGACCGCTGAGCCCAAGGGACATCTGTTTGAAGCTGGACACACACAGCCTTTTTATGGGACGTTTCAAGAATGTTACCTCCGCTCTTTAAATGGCCTTACCGCCGGAGACAGAAATCCACGGATTAAGGTGAGGCGTGAAATTTTTATGGTCAACCTTTCCTAACCCCTTCCTTGCGTGTGAGAAGGCAGCAGCATCGCTGCAGATTCTGGTTGTCCGAGGGAAACACTTTACTGCTATCATACCTCTCTACAGTCAGCAGTACGACTTCAACCTCAGACTCCTCAGTAGAGCATATCCATAAGCCATGACCAGAGATCAAACTCCGGACCATCTGGTCTCCTACAGAACAATTAATCAATAGTCATCAATATAAAAACACAATTCCCTTATCTGAATTTTGAAAACTTATGTATGTCAACATTAAAATTGTAAAGTGAAAGCGAGTTGATAACTCGTTAGAGTTAAAAATTGTAAACAGTAGACTGCATAGATGCTTCCTCCGTGTGTGGGACTCCTAGCTATGTATGCCGAAAGCCCTATCTGGTACAAGGTCCGGATATTCAAAGCTCCCACATGTAGCTTAGAACGGGGTTTCAGGAGACCGAGAATAACGTTTTGTTTACTCCAATCGGTAGCATTAGCGGTACGAGGTGACAAATAAATGAAAGAAGGGTTGGTCGTGGAAATTAGAGTTATTAAGAGGTTCAGGAAGGATTTGATTGTGACTAATTTAAACTCGAGAGTGGATGTCACTTCCCTGCGGTCCACACCATGGACGGATACTTCTTAAGGAACCTGAAATGTAAATCGGATTAGTGCTGAAGCTAACGACCAGGGAACGTAACCGCAGAGCCCAAGGGATAACTGCTTCAGACCGGTCACGCACAACCTTTTTATGTGAAGTTTCTATATTTTTAGCTCCGATCTTCAAAAAGGCGTTATCGCCGGAGACGGAAATCCGTGGAGTCGACTTTTTTAACCCCTTCCTTCCTTGTGAGAAGGCAGCAGCATCGCTCCAGGTGCTGGTTATCTAAGGAAAACATCTTGGAGCTATCACACCTCTCTACAGTCAGAAAAACGGCTTCGCCCTCAGACTACTCAGTAAAGCATATCCATAAGCCATGGCCAGAGATCGAACTCCGGACCATCTGGTCTCCTACAAAACACTTAATCAATATTTTCAGTTAGAGTTTTGGAGATTTGTGTTTTTACACATTTAAATCATAAATCAATCATTGTAAGGTCACCATTAGAAACCTGCAAGCACTGAACGACAGTTTTGTCCTGGTATTGGACTCATAATTAGTGCGCATCCACAACTCCTGAACCTCGCAGGATTCGATGCCGGGACCTTCGGTATTGGGCGCGGACGCCTAACCACCGGACCACTGGGCTGGCATCCAACGGTGTAATCGTCTAACTCTGATTGATCTAGGGATTTTGTGCGGCCTCACCCATTTGTCTTTGGTAGTTACTGCCTACACCCAACAGGGTTGAACTCCATTGGTCACTTAATCAATAGTCATCAATATAAAAACACAATTCCTTGATCTGAATTTCAAAACCTATGTCTGTCAACATTAAAAGTGTAAAGTGAAAGCGAGTCGAAGACTATAAACAGTAAATGATTTTATCTTGGATAGTCGTTTCATCTAAAGAAATTTGTTGTGTAACTAATTGCACTAGTTACACAACGTGTATCAATCAAAGCCGTTATATATCAGGGTAGAATCACTAATAAGCAAGGTGGATTTGATGCTGATGTGAAGGTACGCATCGGGAAAGCAAAGGCCGTATTTTCATAATTGAACAACATCTGTAAGTTAAAACAACTAACAACCAACAACAAAGTCATAATTTTCAATACATATGTCAAGAAAGTTCTACTGTACGAGGCGTAAACTTGGAGAACTACGAAATCCATCATCCAGAAGATGCAAGTGTTCATTGACAGTTGCCTACGCAATATACTTCGGATTCGTTGACCAGACACCATCACTAGCAACAATCTACTGTGGGAGAGAACAAACCAGATTTGAGAGGAGGAGGAAATCAGGAAGAAGCTCTGCGAGAGGTTAGGACACACATTGAGGAAAGCACCAGACTGCGTCACAAGACAAGCCCTCACTTGGAATCCCTAAGGTCAAAGGAGAAGAGGAAGACCAAAGAACACATTATTACATCGAGAAATGGAGACACATATGAGAAGAATGAACAGAAAATGGATATAAATGGAAAGACCCAGGACAGAGTATGTAGGTAGGCAGCCTATGCTTCTTTGAGGCTAACAGGCGTAAGTAAGTAAGAAAGTAAGTTGCACTAGTGATTACATATGCTATTTTTGTAAATAATTCTCTAATCAGACATTAAGAAAAGCATTGCGGGGTTGTTGTGAAGATTGTTAAGATTTATTTGTAACCATGAATCGATCAATGTTAGACCACCATTAGAAACCTGGAAGCACTGGACGTCCACTAGTGACTGACTAGCTTGGTGAGGAATCTTCTCCGAGTTCTGGTGAGAAGTCGTGACCAGTGAAGTTTAAACCTGTTCGGATGTATACATGGTATGAGGTTGCGCAACTCCGTGAATTTGACCAAGTTAAGCATTAACAACGTTAGACACACCGGCTCAGTGGTCTAACGGTTAGGGCGTTCGCGCACAATACCAAAGGGTTCGAATCCTGCGGGGTGCAGGAGTCGTGGATGCGCACTGTCACTGATGAGTAGTCCCATACCAGGACGAAACGGCAGTCCAGTGCTTCCAGGTTTCTAATGGTGATCTAACATTGATCGATTCATGGTTACAAATTAAGAAAAGCATTACAAGTCTTCCAAAGAAAATCCGGTCAAATAATCAATAAACATTGAAATATTGATCAAGAAAAAAAACATGTACAAACTTTAGCAGTTAATGATTGATGCGCAGTGATTGTAGCCCATATCGATCCATCTAAACCAATTGCTTCACATGCCCTAACCCATTGAGTTGTATTAAAACCAAGACCACCATATTCTTTATCTATGCCTAAAGCGAGTAGACCAAATTCATTGAGACTGCGTATCATTTCTTTGGATAGATTACAATTTCGATCAATTTCATAACTATCCACTAGAAAAGATGAACAGGAAAAAAATGAAGATCGGTGTGTTTATAAAATCTAACGATTCAAAAATAACTGTTGGTTATACAGCACGATTTGATAACTGATCCGGAATAAATATGCATTCATTCATCTGTATATACAACAGTTAATACGTGATTAACAACTGAGTAATGAAGTAATGTTCAATCGACGATTTGACTGATAGAATGTAAATGTGAATAATAAGGTGGCGGTAGTAGTGCCTTAGGACCAGCAGTAACCTCAGAAAGGATTCAGGCGAAATTCAAGAAAACTGTTATGTTCGTCACTAGGTACGCTTGAAACTATTACCGGTTCCACTTTAGTCGATAAACGCGAACGAGACAATGAACCAGCGTCCAGGTAGGCTACCTTGATCCGAAGACGGCAACTATTCACTGACTATAGTAATCCTTCTTTACCGGGTATGAAGGCGGATGTGGTGTAGGAGTGGGTTGGAAGAAAGCTAGAGGCAACCAAAAACAAAAACATGACACAATTCCATGAAGTGTCACTGACTACTGGACTGAGTCATGTTTGTAGGTGTAGACTATCTGGCTGAGGTCCGCGAGATGATAGTCACCAATGGTTGGCGACCTTGAATGACATGGCTCAAAATCGTTTTTAATGACAAGGGTGCATCCACTTTTTTTGTGTTCTCCCGCATTCTAATCTTCTAAATTCGTCATCAGCTCTATTTTTCTCTTTCTAAATCTATTTCTGTTAGGATGTTCATCAAATATCCTAAGAGAGAATTATTTTTTAAGTCTAATTCTGTTGGTCATCCTAACTGTATAAATATACACTGTCTGTAACGCTTTATGACCCGGATCCTTAGCCTCTTCTGGACTGGGACCTCGTACTTTCTGAATGTTTGTAGAATACACATTCTACTTCATATCAAGTCTTCTTCTTCCATTGAATAGGGGTTAGGGACGCTCGGATTAGAGTAGCCTGTCTTAGCGCTGGATCATCGGATCCTCGCTCTCGTTTACCGACTAAGGTGAACTCGTAGATAATTCAAGCATATCTATTGACGAGCATTTGTAATAATTTCACTAGATTCTGCTTCTTGAATAATATCTTCGAACTCTAATCTTCTCCATTGCCAGTCATACTTCTACTGTCTCTACTACTATGGGATATGAAGTGATAATTGTATCTCTGTTTGTGCTAATGTGGCATGACAACTTGAACTGATGTACATACGTACGAGTTTCTACGTTGTACCTTACTGAATGAACTGCAGTTAGACGATCATCGATGGTTACATTGACTAACTCTCCTCTCTTTTTCCTGGCTTCCAACCGGAAGTAACCCAGTTCAGAAGAGCTTCAAGCTCCAGTTCAAGAGAACGTCTTTATGAAGAAGAAAAAAACTGATTATACCGTTTAATCTCAATATATACATAACAGTAAATCATTGAGAGAGCGAGAGATAGAGAGTGAAAGAGAAAGGGAAAAACACGAGCACATACTTTTAAGTATGAATTGTTTGATTTGATTATGCATCATATCTAAACTCTCTACTTGATGTTTAGTTTCTAATTCTAAAAATTCAAATAATTCCTGTAAATAGATAAATAGATAAATAAAAGTTATTATTAGTTTTTTAATAGCTGAGTTGTATTCGTGTTTTCACAATCAATAATCTAAGAGATGTTTCTTCGAGATGTTTACATACATACATAACTAGTATAAAATCTTCATTGATAATTTAAGAGAGTACTCAATTTGAATAGATAATTCACAAGTATATGGGTAAGGGTTATTTTACACTGGTTTTCAGGAGAATCAGACGCTGTCCACGAGTTAACACTACAACCTGTGAACAGTATAGATTAATCTTGTAGCGCAACCACACACACTGGTACCTGACATGCTCCTAGACCATCCACACGATTTATATACACTAGTACATATATTCATAGTGATTATTTCTGATCCATGATCGCGTCAATCAATCCAACATGCACAGCAGACAGTAGACCAATTTGAGTTATCCTACTAGCTAAATTTGTATATGAACAACTATCCAGCAAAACTTGCCAAAGTAATGCCAAACTATCTCCACAATGTTCATCACAACGAACCTCTGGTCTTAGAGGAAACCTTCAGCTCTATAGAGCTCTACATAGCTTATGGTATATACATTGTATGGTATAGGAGATAGTAAGAGATGCAGCTTAGCTTGATGCAAATGGGCTCATACACACTCTTATGAACCATTTTTCGCAAACTACATAACTCTATGATCAAAAGTTGTACAATGTGCTCACTAATGACTAGCTTCATGAGGAAATTCTTAAAGTTCTAGTGAGAAGACGTGACAACTTTAGTTCGACCATGTCGGGTGTAGGCAATAATTACCGAAGACGAATGGATGAGGTAGCGCAAAATCCTTAGATTGATCAGAGTTCTAAATTAACACTGCTGGATGCCTGCAGATGTTAGGCGTTCGCGCTCAAGAGCGAACATCCCGGGTTTAAATCCAGCGAGTTTCAGGAGTCGTGTATGCGCACTGCTACTGATAAGTCCCACATGAGGACGAAACGACCTTCCAGTGCTTCCAGGTTTCTAATGGTGGCCTAACAATCACTCATTGATGATTACGAAGTAATATTATTATTATTATTATATAATAAAAACAGTAACATTATTATAAGTAGTATTGTGGTGTGAGCTACTTATAAGTAGTATATGACGTGAGTGTAAACGTAATGTCTGGCAGCAGAAGATGGGGGAAGATCAAGAAAGGAAGAGTTAGAACACAATGGAATTTGTATGAATAGTGACATGAATAGTGACAATGGATTGATGTTTTGCAACAGGAACATTACAGTTCGACAGGATGGACTGATAATTTGCAAATGAACGATTAACGATATGGTTTTCCGATTTTACTGAGTAACTCTGTATTTGTCGTTAAATACAATTCGGTTGCCCTCACCGGTGTTCTCGTTCACTACAGTATTAGTAGTAGTAGTAGCAATAATAGTATGAAAACCAATCACACGCTTACTAGATTAACTTGACCTTTGAAAAAACCTTTAATCAATGGTTCTTTTGAAGTAGCTGCCACAGTTGTTGAAGAAGGCGGTGTAACAGCTTCAATCAATGGAGGTAATTGATTAGGCCAAATACGTTTAGGTTTTTCTGATTCCCATTGTACATTGACAGGATCCTCTTGATTTATTGATTTCTTATTGGCGATTTCAGTGGAAAATGATGACACCAAACACTGGTTAAATTTCATGGGACATGTCAATGGGAAATGATAACCAATAAACGTAATCCGTCGTAATGCAACATTGGAAATTTTGGAGAAAAACTAGATAAGTGATGAATTAATAATTTTAGAAAAAAGTAGCAATAAATATGAAATTTTATTTCTTAATAAAATTTAGTGAGATAAAAACAAACAGAATATGTCGTTAAGTTTGTGCAATTTCAATTATCATGTCACCATTTTGTTAGGATATTCATCCAATATCCTAAGAGAATTATTGGTCATATCCTATTGCTCGATTTCTATTGGTCAAAATTATGGTCGTTTTAACTGTCAAAGTCAAATACTTCAATGTTGTTTCTTATTGGTCATCCGGACTGTCAATGTCATTTCAAATGTTACTTCCTATTGGTCGTCTTAACTGTCAATGCCACAGAATTCGATGCTGTTTCCTATTCGACCAAAATGTATAAATACGCATTATCTGTAACATTTTATGACCACGACCAGGGCTCGGTCCCGGATCCCGATTCTCTTCTGGATTCGGACCTCGTACTTTCTGGATGCTTGTAGAATACATGTTCTACTTCATATCAAGTCTTCTTATTTTTACTCAATATGGGGGTTGGGATAATCGGATTTGAGTAGCATGTCGTGTCACCGGATCCTCGCTCTCGTTTCCGACTAGGTAAACTCGTAATAGTTCAAGTATATCAAGTTGACATGTTTAAGTGCAGGCGTAACACATTTACATAAATTTGGAGTCAAATAAGGTGAGTAGGTTATACTGAAGTTTGCATTGTACAATGCACATGATATCAACTGTTCTATTTTGTCTAAACATATGCAGTGGTACAAAAGAGGCGCCAAACAAGCTGATGATCAATGTGTAAAGATGAAATACCGTCCAGGTGCCCAAATCGAAGTATGTGCTTGTTTTAAGGAGACATTTTTAATAGCCTTTGGTCCAGAGATCTTATCTACAAGGCGGTGGAGCAACGTTAACCGGTTATCAACATTAGGTTTGTACGCCATTTGTTTCGTCGAAATCCTGGAGCCCATAGGCGCCATTAATTTGGAATCAGGGTTTTTCAACTCCTCTAGTTGGATTCTCAGTGTCCACTAAACAAGTGAAAGTGCGCAACACTCGCTTCTTCGTCTTTTTAATTTAGTGAACAACACCGCTGTCATGAGAAGGCAGTGAGTAGTACTTCCTTGGAAGTGGCCGTACACGAGTGGCCATATGGGAGTATTTTGAAAGGGAAAGAGTATCTTAATCACGGTCATATCAGGGAATATGAGAGCATATTATCAATGATTCTATTTTGTCATACCTAAAAAAAGCCTTACCATGACCACCATTGGAAACTAAGCACTGGGCAGCGGTATCCTTTTAGTATGAGACCTTCAGCAGTACGAACATATTACCACACCACAGAGAGTAGAATCCTACGTCTACCACACAAACGCTGAACCTTTATACCAATAGGCTCACATTCAATCCTGAGCTCATATATGTGACTAACTTTTAGATGCAATTCTACAAGTCCTAGTGAGAAACCGTGACCAGTGGAGAATAAACGTGTCAGATATGAGAGAATTATCTAGGATAGGCAACACATAGTCACGCAAAGTCGCATACTGAGAAACAGCTGTCAAGTACTTCTTGGTTTTCATTAATGGTCGAATTACGGTCAGTCCAGAATTTAACAGTTTTCAAAAAAAATGATATCTAGAAAGATATGAGCATTCTAAATCACTTAGATTCATAAATTGCAGGCATATACAAGTACTATGGTAACTGTACGAAATAAATTCCACAACTACACACTGTATCTCAATACTGACAGTTCCGGATGAAGATGTCGGAGTTATTGTGATCTTTGAGGTAGATAAATTGGTTCTTATTGGCACTTATTGACCTTCTGAACATTTTCAACACCGATTTCAAAACGAAGAGGACTCTACAATTGACCAATAGCTCACTTCTCTATGAAGTACGTTCTCGTGCTGTTCAAAGGAATATATGAAAGTTTTACAACCAATCTATCTACCTCAGAGATCACAACAACTTCATCATACTGTATATCACTCGGTGAGTGTCAGAAAAAACCCTAATTTAATTTGTTTTTAAATGAGCCAAATTCAAGAAACACAGGTTAAGGCGTATACTGTACAAAAATTAACACATTTAGAAATTGATAAAAGGTACACTTTCTGATAAGTAAACATTAGAAACTTCGAACATAACAGCGAGTTACCAGTCATTCACGATACTAAAAGATACAGATAAACCTCAGTTAGTCAGTTAGTTACAACGTAGAACTTCGCACTTACATACATCAGTTCAAGCTGTCATATACCAGATTAGCACAGAGACGCAATTGCCAATTCGAACCCCATAGTGGTAGAGGTAGTAAAAGTATTAGCAGTAATCGGAGAGCCTAGGGTTTGAAGATATTATTCAAGAAGTATAATCCAGTGAAATAAACTTAATAAGAGAAAATTAGATGTGATGAAGAGTCCAGAGTATTAGGATTCGAGAGAAGATAAGGAATGGATGCATATGCACCATGATAAACGATTTTGAGTCATGTCGTCATGTTTCGGTCTGGCCTCCCCCGGGGCTTTCTTCCAACCTACTCCCACTTCACAAAACACAGCTCAACGAGGCAGTTGGTGGTTAGGCATACCTAACACATCCTAACCACCTCAACTGATGAAGATTCACTACTTCATCCATTGATCTCCCATCCTTATATAGTACTTGTTTCCTAACAAGACTCCTATGGTCGAAAACCAGTAACATACGAGTATCCTCTACTCTTACTGGCCATGTTTCACAGACATAAAGTAGGACGAAGCGAACTGATGCGCAGTAGACTCGTCCTTTGGTTAGCAAACAGATATCTCGTCTACGCTATAAGTGACGCAAGCTGGCATAAGCCAATCGAGCCTTCTGTATCCGTACTGAGATTTAGTTATACACCAGACCATTAGCACAGATGAGACTCCAAGATAAGTGAAGTGGTCAAAAAGCTCAACTACTTCCCCCACTACCATAAGTTCAGTTGCCGATGCAACCCAATCCTGAAGCAGTATATTGCGTTTCGACGGGGAGAATCGCATCCCGAACATGCTTGCATTGTTGCTTAGGGTAGTCAGAAAACTCTGCATTTTGTCAGCGTCCTCACCGAATAGGACTATGTCATCGGCAATTTCTAGGTCAGTAAGCGATTTCCCTGGTAGAACGTCGGCTCCTAAAATTTCAGACGAGGATAAGGTTATTTCTAGCGGCATGTCTATGACAACCTTAAGCTAAAATGGGGAAAGTGGACATCCCTGACGGACACCATTTAGAGTAAAGAATTCCGATGACAGTTCGCCATAAGCTCTCACTCGACCGGTAGTTTTAGAGTAGAGAGCTTTTATAAAGTTAATGTACTTCTTTGATACACCCTTCAATGACAGACGCTGCCACAGAACCTCACGATCCACAGAGTCAGATGCCGCCTTAAGGTCCAGGAAAACAACTATTGTAGGACGCCTAAATGTGTGTCTGTGTTCCAGGACCTTTCGTAGTGTGAAGGTTTGGTCTATACAACCACTTATACAATAGATTGTGGGTTACACCAACTATGTAAAGCCCAACAAAGTACATTCAGGTTTAGGGGCATCAACATAATAAGTGAAATTCGTATCTAAATGAAATAGAAGTTTGAACTCTTATCTTCAAAAAGATTATTTAGTGGAGCTTAAAACTGTAGAAAAAATCTATCCGAAACCATATATTCCCAGTGTTTTTTAAATGATATTATTTTACTACTGAAAACATTTTAAGTAGTTAAAGTTTACAACGTAAAAAAATAAAGATACAAATTTATTCATAAAAACATTAAGAACGAAATTGTGCTATCTACGTGTTTATTATGCAAAACAGAGAAAACAACAGGATTTATGTCTAGTTATACATATATACAAACATTGAAATTTGAATACATTCATGTTTCTTCTTTACTACCAGAAGGCAATGAAGTGGATGACGATGACTCGAGCTTACCGGAACCTATCAATGGTGAACGTGAAACAGTAATTTCTCCTTTAAAATCATTAGATTTCAGCAGCAATTTAGTTGAATTATTTGAATTCAATAATTGTGTTTCATCAATTGATTCTTGATTTTCTCTTTCTAATAATAAATGACGAGCTTTTTGATCAGCTTCATCATAGATATCTAAACGACGTGGTGGAATAACCGCGGCAGCAACATATCGACCTTCTGAATTTAAAAAATTAAACGTTCCTATTGCATGATGCTAAAAAGAAAAATATTTAATGGAAAAAATAAACGGTATAAGTTATCATGAAATTTTTTTTAAATGTCATTAGTTGCAAAATATAACAACCGTTGTTACATGGTTGGGGTCCGCGAGATGATAATAATCGATGGTTAGAGACCTTGAATGACATGGCTCAAAATCGTTCGCAATGGAGCCGGTGCATTTATTCTTTGTGTTCTCTCAAATCCTAATCTTCTGGATTCTTCAACAACTCTAGTTTTGATTTTCTAAACTTTTCTCATTAAATAATCCTAACCTCTCCGATTACTCCTAATAACTTAAGTACCTCTTCTACTATTGGATTTGAATTGACAATTATATCTCTGTGCTGATGTGGTATGGCGACATGAACTGATGTACTTACGTACGAAGTTCTACGTTGCATCTTACTGACTGACTGACAACCGTTGTTAATGTGTGTTTTATCAACGGAAGTGACATGAGATTATGATAGTCGCATAGTTCTGTATTCATATCGTTTGTACAGCTATAAGCTATCTGGAGTGTGGCTAAGGTTAGAAAAGTACATAAAATGTGGCACTCTACGGATGGCATAAGTTATAAATGAACATTAATATGAAGAGTCACACACTTCAGGCATAAGTAAATATTGTTTTCTAAGAATCATTTACACACTATCTACTATGCCATGTAAGTCGATTGGAGAATGGTAAGATTAAAAGCAGCAAAGCAATGTCTGAGGGCGAAGTCGTACTGTTGACTGTAGAGGGGGGGTGACAGTAGTAAGATATTTCTCTCGAACAACTGACTTCTGCAGTGATGATACTGCCTTCTCACAAGGAAGGAAGGGGTTAAAAAAGATCGACCCTAAAAATGTCACACCTCACTTTACCTCATGGATTTTTGTCTCCAGCAGTAAGGCGTTTTGAATAGCGGAGCCAACACTTCAAAATCTTCCAATAAAAATACAGTGAGTGACCGGCCTTGAGTAGTTGTCCCTTTCGCTCTGCAGTCAAGCTCCAAGGTCGTTAAGACCAACACTAATCCATATTGTGTTTCAGGTACTTCAAGAAGCACCCCTCCAAAGTTTGGGCAGAGGGGAAGTGACACCAGCTCTCATATTCGTAAAAGAACACGAGTCTAAACTAGTCATAATCAAATCCTTCCTACACCACTTAATAACTGTCTAATTTCCACGACCAACCCCTCTTTTATTCTTTTGTTACCTCGCCCCGCTGATGCAAACGTTTTGATTTCACGAGACGTTATTCCTGGTCTCCTAAAACCTCGTTCTAAACTGCATGCTGGAACTTTTAGTGTTTGGACTCTGTGCCGAATAGGATAACAGGCTTCCTTAGCAAGGTCTTTAGGATCTCGCGCCACTGATGTATGTTGCGTCTCCAAAACGCACATACAGGATCTGAGTATAGTTATTCACTTGACCCCAACCTTATCAACATAAAGAACCAACGCAATTTACACTTCGTTAATTTAGAAGCCTTACTGCTGCTGGAAGAAAGTTAGGGGTGGCTAAAACAAATCATGGCACAAATTCACGAAGTTACTGATAAACGAACTGAGCCATGTCACTAGGTGTAGACTACCTGGTTGGAGTTTGCGTAACAATAGTAACCAGTGATTAGAAACTTTGAATGGCATGACTCAAAGTCGTTTGTAATGGTAAATTCTTCAGTGCATAGCTGCTATAAGGTTAGATATTAATATCGTTGGATGCAGGCTCAGTGGTCTGGAGGTTAAGCGTTCGCAAGCGAAATCGAAGGCCCCCGGGGTTCGATTACCGCTTGCGTAGTTTGTGAAAAAGTACTGCTGATGAGTCCTGTACTAGGTTGCCCAGTACTTGCAAGTGTCTCACTGCAGTCCAACATTGATCGATTTAATATTCCAATGAAATCCAACAATGAATCTATAATTTTGGGGCGGAGTTTTGGAGGTTTGAGTTTTTTACACATTTGAAATCATAAATCAATCATTGTTAGGCACCACCATTAGAAGTCTGGAAGCACTGCATGACGGCCGTTTCGTCCTGGTATGGGATTCATCAGCAGTGCGCATCCACAACTCCTGCTCCACGCGGGATTCGAACCCGGGACCTTCGGCACGGTGCGCGAACGCCTAACCATCGGACCACTGGGCCGGCATCCAACGGTGTTAATGTCTAACTCTGACTGATCTAGGGATTTTGCGCAACCTCACCCACTTGTCTTTGGTAGTTACTGCCTACACCCGACAAGGTTGAACTCCACTTATAATTATTATGATACAGCACCTAAAGTTGAATGTGTTACATAAGGGCTCTGGTTAAAGTTACTCAGTATTATAATCTTAAAATAATGGATTGAGTCTCAATTTCTAGAAAAATGAGTCATAAGGAAGAACCTATGAAATAACTGCTTATTATAATATCTTTTGTCATTTTTAAGCAGTATATGGGAACTTAAATTACAAAATGATTCAATGACAACAGGGAAATGTAAGTCACTGACTTACACACTACTTTAAATCATGGCTACTAAGCTTATTTTCCCCATTGATCACTGATGCTATCTACTAATTTCACAATCTAGACTCTTTTCATTAATGGCATAAGAATCCCTGTCAAGTTCTGTCCAGATAAAATTACTAATAACCATTTCGATTACAGTTAGGCTTGAGATGAATTTAATTAGGAATGATATTACTCCAGAAGACTTAAGAACTTCAGGGACATTAAAAAAACGAAAAATATTACAAGCGTAAAAATATGGACACTAACTGTTGGCATAACCTCAACAGGTAGACGATGTTCCCAGCATATTTTCAGTATTTTACGGTAATCAACTGGACTTTTTGTTTCTCCTTTACCAATTATAAGAACCTCTGCAGATATAATCGTTAGACAATTAGTAATATAACTAAACAGTACACGTACCAAGTGGAGGCTCCAGCATGAAAAGTAAAGATAAGGACTCTTCTGAAATATCCAAAGCATCTTTCACCTTCGAAAAAAAAAAGTTTAAATCTACAATTGATCTAATATAGACAACATACATTCCAGCTAAGAGCGAATTGAGGGAAAGCAACACATGGTCCAACCACTTTGGTACCAGTGTTTAAAACAAATCCATCTTGATTATAAGCTGCAAAATAAACTCCAGGTGTATTATAATTAACCAAATCAACGTCAACACCGGCGCTTTTGTGTGTCACAACAAGCTTTTCATTATCGAACAGACCTATTCTAAATGTCCAATCCAAATTTTAATAATTTTATTTCTTACGCCAAATAACGTAAGCCGGGGAGACGTTTTAGCTGTTTAAAAACGGTAAGAGAGTGATTCATCTGGTACTTGACGAGCAACAAACTAGATTAGTTCCTAATTCTTGTGATTTACTTGCGCGATCAACATGACATCATCAAAGTCTGAAATAACAAGTAAATGAGGAACGTAGATCATATAACAACACATATTTTTTGGAGAAAATTAAAATTTATGGAGAAGGCCACATTGGAGCAGTGTGGAAAAGAAAATCACTAACTAAGTACGGTTAAAAGATGGTTAGAAATTGATGTGAGGCATGAGGATTAAGGTTTATAGCTGGATGCAAGCGTTAGGAATTACTGTTGCAGGTTTTCAACAAACGCACACCAGCTATAATGCCGAAATGGTATGTGACCATCAAATAGGACAGCCTTCGCGCAAAAGTACAAGACTCGGTCTCACAAATGTGGTCGTTCGTTTATAAATTATAGTCTGACGAAATTACACAACAATCGACTCATTTCCACAACTTAAATCAAATGAAAAAGCGCATACAAAATAAGTGTTATGGTATGCCGCAATCGAACGAATAAAATTTAAGTCACTGACGTTTGATCTATAGCATTACCATGCGTGAAAAAAAACCAAGATGAAAAAAGATATTATGAGAGGTAACAGTGAAAATGTATCCAACCTATTAAACATCTACAGCTTAAAAATCAAACTTTTAAAAGAAACAGGGAAACATTATTGTCATTAAAGAGTTATATCACAGACTAATAAAAAAGGTCTAGAAGATCGATCACTAGTTAAATAGTAGTTTTACAGTTGACACAAAATGAAACGAAACATTCCACCGAAAAATCAAATAAGCATGATAAATAGAGGAATAGATAGAAAGTTCAATAAAGAGAACAGGTGGCACTAAAATTATGAATATATGCATAACAACTCGGTCCACATAAAGTTTCATCATCCAAACCCTGTTAGATTTTCTCAGAAACTTCTGCTGACCATTGTAACATGATTAAATGAATAACTGACTTATTCTGCTGCATAACAAACAAGTGACAGGTAAAGTAAAATACTGGAGTTTACAGTGACAAATTATGTTTGAAATGTAGCATCTGTAAAACACTGTACTTGACCTATATACTTTTAATCTAAACTCACGCCTTTAAGGTCTTTCAGGGCGCATAACTCTAAAACTCTATTTTGGGCATCTCCGAATCACTAATTTCGGACTATACACTTACAATGATTTATTCATGATTTCAATGACAAACAACAATCTCCATAACTCTATAATGAATAACGTACACTAAACAATTTACATTTTCTGTTCCCATCAAAAGTTGATTTTCGGAAAAGACTAATAAAAGAGCCTAGATGAGGTTGCTACGAGCTAGCCAAATACATCGGTTAAGAATAAACATTATGTGTATAGTGCCTATTTACTTCCCTACATTACGTAGGCATTGTATTTTACACTACCGGATCTTGAATGTTCAGAAGTCCATTGTCATTACTGATCACCTCTCCGATCTACTATGCTGCTGAACAAGACCTGAACAAAGTCCCACTACAACCACGTTACTGGCTTTCGAAATGTAAGCAGAGGGGATAGATAGTAACATTTTACAGATCCGGTTACTTTTCCAGAAAATTTGTTTTTCATGTAGATGAATGTGCATGTGCCACCGATGAAGCAATTGGTAAAACAGCAGTTGTTCAAGGTGGCTGAACCTACAACACAGTGGTTCAACTTTGGCATGACTGACTTCGTCGTATCTGTCATTTTGATTGTCTATTAATGAGGGAAGACGAAGTTTGTATCCGCACGAATGTTTAAATAAAAAGGCGATTCCAGAGCGAGAAGTATATTTCATGCTAGCATCGTGATATCGAAATAATATCGAGGTCAGATGGTGTACAGGAGATGTGCGAAGAGGAGAAAAGGAATGACACGCTTGGCGCTCGAGAGATAGTTTTTAATACAGATAAACAAGAGGTGTACAATATAACAATTATTGTTAGAATTAGGAACAATAATGTTTATATTTCAGTAGTTGTGGTTTCTTCCTAAAAGTATACCACCACAAAATATTGCAATCTGGTGGTGAAAACCTGATTGTTCGCTATTGTTGGGGTCATATTAAACTCGAAGGGCGTTTTCAAGAACATTAGTTGTTTCATTCAAACGACTTTTACTACGGGTCTTTTGAGTTTGTAAGTTTTATATTCGTAGGTCAGAAGTGATGTTAAGGCTTTTACGAAAATTCAAGCAGTTTCGCATATGATAAATGTGTAAAAATAAACAAACCCCTTTTTATTATGCTCAACCTCTAAAATTTCCTACCGTGAAAAGCAGCGTATGTTGAAGTGTTTTTCAATGGTTATCGTAAAACTCTATGTAAATCATAAAATTGCTGAATGTTTAGAAAGAATATTAAGTTTGAATTTCTTGTTAGGAGGTGCTTAGACTTGGAGATTCGGGTATGTAACCAAGGAAGTCATGGAGTTTTTTCCTAACACACAGCTACCAGGATTGATTGATGCTGTACATAATGTACTCCTGATGAGCTGGGTAATAATAGTACAGTTTGTGTCCTACAGTTCTTTCACAACTACAGTATTTCATGCAGTAAACATTTTTTTATATTTTGTAATAACAGTCATGCAACTTGAATTTCGCTGAACAGGTAACTTAGCCGTAAGTTTCTCGACCATAAAAATCTATGGTATTTGCAAGTCGAAGTGCCTTCCTCATCGGTTAACCAGTTTTTGATAATCCATTTACTAACATGTATATGTTTCTGCCTATACCTCCTGAAGAGTTGTCTAAGTCTATTTGAAACGTTTTTTGCAAATTCCTGCAGACATCGTAGGAAAGGGCTGTTCAGTCGTAAGTAGTAATCTATTTCCAAGACGATGTACTGTTCAAACTTGTAAGTGTACGTAAATAGTTGAGCTGCTCTTCTGAAATGGTGGAACTGGAAGAAAAACTGAACAAGCGGTAAAAGGAATAAAACTGATACCTAAAATAAGAGAATGATCGAAATAAGGATAAACAACGTTAGGATATCAGGTAAGACGATGGGATTAAAAATGAGAAGTACGAAGAGTGTAAGTCCAAAAAAGTGAAATGATTATGCATTTTAAAACAGATGTCGCTTTTTGTGGTCGCTTTGAAACAGTTTTTACAAAAATGGCTGGCTTAACAGAGCGGATGCCGCCACGGATGCGCACAAAATGATGGGAGAAGCCACGAAATTCAAAGCAAATCAACGCAAGGCTAGTTAGAAGAGGCCAGATGAATCAGATAAATCTGAAGACCTTAATCTCAACTAAAACTTGCTTATCTCCCGCCATTTCAGAAAAAGAAGTAAGCTTCCTAGAAGTGCCACTCTTCCTATGTGATGGGATGCACAAAACATGAGTTGGGTTGACGACATAAATAAATTGCTATTTCAAAATCCTAACGCCACACAGTAGTCTGCAAACAGAAGTGACAGAATGACCTCCATGTTGCTTCAATAAGGATAGAACGAAATAACCGATTGTAGGGTCTAGTGACCAGCGGCTTGACTCCACTTTGAAAGAATGATCAACTATGCAATGACATCAATTTTCCTATCCATTTCCGTATATCATGATTAGACATCCCCCGTTTGTGTGACGGTGTTAATACGAGTCCGATACGGTTTCGCTTGTGAATTTATTTCATCCATTCGTTCGAGCAGGAAGACTTGTTAATTAAAAGCGTACAAGCGAAGAAAGGTGAAGTGGAGAAGACGAGTGACATAAAATCTTTTGACATAAAGCATGTGTAAGTGTTCATAGTTAGGCAATAATAAGCTAAGCATCAACACAGACACTAAAATATGAAATAGTCGAAACTGTTAGGAATTATTTAAGCACCTAATCGCAACGCTAGTAGAATGGATATGTGCCTTGGTGGTTTCGCAACGCTAATGCGTACATGCTCATACATGCTCAACAATAATAAAAGTACAGTGATATAGATAAGTCGTTGATATACGACTGACGCTCTGTTACATAAGTTATTGAAAAATTTTAACCAAGTTAGATATAAACAAACTCCAATGCATGTGAAGTACTATAAGAGATTTATCGGCCTTCATTAGGTCCAGAAAAGTATGTTGATCGAAGCAATACTGCAAATGCAAAACACATGGGGATTGACCAAACATCACTAGCTATGAAGACTTCAACACTCCGTGCATAAATCTCAGCAAACAGAGTAAAACCCCCAAAGGGTGTGTAACAGCCAAATTAGCAATATTTAGTCTAAACGTACAACAAACAAACATATATTTATTGTGTTAGGTCAAACTACGTTCTCCTGTATAGCAAATAGATCGCTTTTAACTAATTTATATGGAATTATATCAAAGCATGGATTCTATGCTCATTTTAATAAGACAAGTTATATTGAAATTACAAAACACTTCAAACTGTCAAAATAGCATACGAAGCAGCAAAAGCAAGAGTTAACAAATATGTATTCAGTACTTGAGAATCAACATAAATCTTCCCAACAAGACCGGATTCAATATCTACCATCTCAATCGATGTGAAATAACGAATTCAAAGCTGTTTTCATAATTATATCATCATTAAGGCACGCATTGCGATATCACCACGATAAGGTACGTTCGTCCATTAAACTTGTAAGCTATTAGGAATAATTTTCATTTCAATTATCAGACAATTGACAGACGGAAGACGTGCCATATTACACCACTCAATATTACCTGTTATTATCAAGGAATGTATATTAACACATTTAAGTTCAACTTTCTGATCAACACACACCTTCAATGATGAATAAACTTTATTGATAAAAACAAAATTTCTTCTTCACTTCAATAATAATCATCACAGTGTGTGTCTGATTGTACATTCATACTAATAGAATCGATGAGAACAATATGTTATATTGTAAATGATTATTTACTCTAAACACTTCAATGAAAACATCAGTGATAAAATCGTAAGTACAATTGATAAAGTTAGATTATTGCATTTCAAAAACATTGAGTACTTAGTTGAATGTGAATCATTAAATTACGTTATCTTATGAATATATCTGTTCTTTAACTCTGTTGAAACTTTGTTAGCCTGATTACATTATTTGCTCTAAATAAAATGGTTTTATATTAATTGATAGAAACTGAGAAATCTAAATTTTTATTACTTGGAATATTTCTCGTTATACACGTTCATAAATCTTTTTCTTTATGATGAAGGTTATTTGGCGAAAAATGCCTGGAATATAGACTGACTGACTTCCAGTGAAACGTTGCTAGAGATTAGAAAACGCTGATCAAGTGGTTTTTCCTAGTTTGACAAACCTTCTCTGACGGTTCCTATATGTGTACAAGTACGGGAGAATTCTAATGTAAAACTGTCCATAATCCGCTTAACCTCATTTTCTTAGTCTATATAAATACCCTATTAGATTGTACTTATTAACACGAGGCGCATGGAAGAAAATATAGACTTGTTTGTTGCTTTGCTTTGAATTGAAATCACAGACTGAATAATATTGAGGTCAAAAATTTATCATTAAATATCAATAAGGGCATGACGTCCAATATCCAAAATCCAATATCTTTTTCACGAGCTATTATAAACCAATTTGATTTCTTCGCGCTCGATTCTTGTTCTTTCGGTACGGTTCCAGGTGTTTGGTAATGTTCAATGTCGTGACTAAATTACTATTAAAACTTAAACCAATAGCATAACCATACAACGATTTATTTCAGTGTACTATGGTGAGCTAAGTATTTGTTGGAATACTATTCTCATCACTATTAAAATAATTTAATGACTAAACTTTCAGAAAATTGATGAAGTACTGCAAAAGTCGACGTAAGGCCTCCTCGTGACTCAGTTGGGTAACAGGGGTATCTCTTTTAGCTAAATTGGATGGTACGTGGAGATCAGAATGATCACCCAGTTCAATGTCGAGGCTGATTCCCAAAAACCAAAGGAACTGTCCAAAGTAGATGCTTGTGTATATGATTTTTATAGGTCTCAACCGATGTAATTTATATGCGTGAGTATATGCAAAAGGAACTCTCGCGGACTCCCATTTCGAGGAAAGGGAACTGAATAGTGTGCCGTAAAACAAAAATTTACAGGTTTATGAATAACAAATGTTGGTTTAGGCAAACAGGGTGGACGGCTGTACCTGTGATAACTCTTATATTTCTAGTGTGCATGTAACGTATACCTGATCTCCGGTATATGTACTTCACTGGATATGTGGATATGTGTTTCACAAATGTATGTAATGTAGACTTGCACTTGGTGCGATGCCGCACATCAGGGTCCTTGGGATAATGGTTCCCTACAAAACATATCCATGTAGTTTGTTTGTCTGTCTCAAAAGCACTGTGTAACTGAAACACAAATCAGACAGAGGAAAGTCTATGTGATGAGCAAAATGATGAATTTTTTACCAACTGGTCATTGTATAGAAGAAATTTTGAAAGTAGAAGCTGTTTAGCTTCTTGATGCTTCGATTTTAAATAGATATCAGGTAGATTTTGATCATTTACTGATTATTACAGTTACCCGTTACTTATTTACTAAGTAGTTTATGTAGAAAAATATTCTTTTTCTTGATTTAGGAAAGATATATAAGTTTCCAAACAGTAATGGCATGGTAGTCATAGGCGGAAAAAATGTGTCAGCATTGGGTTGAGTGGATTAGTGTAAATTCTTCAAAAAACGAACTTACGATAAAGATTGTAATATACAACAAGTGATGCAGCGTTTTATAACTGAAAGTTTCTTCCATCGTAAAACCTAGAAAACTTTGCTTAAAACAGGGTTCTAGTGAAGAATACGGCGAAATCTAATTAATAAAATAAGATTAAATGAAGTGAATAGTTTTAGAAATTGGAAAATAACAACTAAAATGTAATCTAATCCACACTGAAATCTTGAATCAATCATTGCGAGACCATCTTTAGAAACCTGAGATCACTGAACAGCCGTTTCGTCCTAGTGTGGGACTCGTCAGTAGTTCAGATTTACGTCCCCAGCTCATGAGATTCGAACTCAGGTCTCGCATACCAATGCTTGGTCTCTAGACCATTAAGCTGGCATCCAACGGTGTTCATGTTTAACTTTGATCAATCTAAGGATTTCGCGCAACTGCAGCAATAGTCTACGGTAGTTACTGCCTACACGTGACATGGTTGACCTCCACTAGTAAGCGCTTCACAGTATAACTCCGAGAATTATTTCATGTAGCTAGTCATTAGTGGTTGATCCGCCATTTCAGTCTAAAACAACAATCTTCATAACTGTTTGATGAAAAATATCTTGTTTTACGGAACTTTATTACTTATTTAAAATCTGATTTCATACAAGATTTGTTAATCTGAATATACACAAGGAGAAGATTCTGCATCGAATAATTACTTATGAAACACTGGATCTAGTGTTTTTTATTGATTATTTCAAGTCTATTGATCCACGTTTTACCTACTATTTTCAATGTTGAACAATTGATAAAAACTTTTGTTATTGTATTTTATTATTCTTACTACTATCAGTACACTTGTCTTCGTACTATAAACTTGAACATTTGCCTGTAATGTGTAGTGACGTAATCGATTTCAATGTGATCATTGACTCATAAATTGCCTCGCCTTCTCAACCACGTTGACAGTTTTTGGGGATTAGTACGTAGTAAATTCACATCTCCGATTTTGCACATCATAACACAGAGCTATGAAACTTTCAATTATAGACTAATAGAAAAATTTGAAACTTGAATAGCATTCAAAGTTCAAATGAGGATTCAGTCAAGTTTTGTGAAGTAATTTTCTTTAGTTCACTTATACCCTCTTTGCTTTTATGAAATAATGTAAATTAAACTCTATAGGCTTTCTTTTATACTCATTATTATATGTATGTCTTTGTCAATGTATTTGGTCAAACTAGTTGATAACTTACTTCTTCCGAAGCTCCTTGAATTACTCCTTGTACCGTAACCATGTCATTTGATTCAACTGATGAATTGAAAGAATTAGAAATCTGATTTTCAATTATGTTATTTTTCAAACATTGTTTTCTATATTGAAAATGGAATAAACTGCAATCTTCTGCAAAAGATGGTGGAGGCGGTGTCCAAGATGACGAAATCCTGGTTGAATACTCACAGTTCAATCCTTGCAATTGAAAGGAATTCGATGAATTTTTAATCAAATCTCATGTAAAGTCAAATCACGATAAAACACATTATGTCTACTGAAATTTATCAAAGATCAGACACAATATGATTTAGGGCAGAAATATATTTCACTATTAAGTTCCATATTGTCTCAATTAAGGATAGTTATTTCAACAGACTGAGGTCAAATTTGTCAGAAATATATCTTGATTGATTCAATTCAAAAAATATAAAGCCGTTCAGAATACCTAGTTTTGATTAAACTGTACTGTTGGATCAACAAATCATGAAAGCAATATTTATTCAAAACATTTTCTGACACCACTATTAAGCCTTGGCAAGTGAAATGTAATTATAAAGATATTTAGCTGAACAAAAAACCAAATTCGTAATACCTGTGCGCCTCGTGATTTACAATGTCATTAAATTCAGTCAGCGGGATTCGTGTGATCTGAAAATATTGGTAATTAGAATTACGAAAACAACGCATAGTGTCGAATGAATAAAAATGAAGGTTACGCCTAAATGAAAATTGTCTTTCGAAGAAATCATTCACTGAAGTTGTTAGTTGTAAATTTCATCATTGTTTGATCAATATACAATTTCCTCATTTCATTGAAAAGAAAATATTCTTCGCAAAACTCTCTTTGTTTGTATCAAGTATACTGAGTGTTATACTCAAACAAACCTGTACACAAGTCGTTTCATCTCGAATAAGTTACAAATTGACAGATAAAATGCTGGATAGTAATATTTTGAAATTTCACATTTCTCGTCATTCTTGCTGAGAAGTTCAAAACTAAGGTGCAAATGCTATTCAACTCTCTCTCTCTCTCTCTCTCTGATTTTTACTATTTATTTAAACTTAACCAGCTCTTGTTTAATTAACAATCATACAAGCCGTCGTGTACATTGAATTCATTCACATTCACTTACTAATCTTAAGGTATTCTAAAATCAAGAAATGATAAATAAATTTGATATGGTTTAAAGTAGTTGTCATCATATTTGAATTTATTTTAAAAATAAGGTGTGGACACACACGATGAATGAATGCAGTTCCAATGACATATTCCGAACCGAAGCTGCTACCTTGACGTGGTGGTCGAGCTTGCCTATCGTAATGACCCAACCGAGCTATATTGGTTGGAACATATGTTCCTGAAGGTTCTACCATGCCAGGCAGGTCGATTGGAGAACGATCAGACTAAAAGCAGCTACTCAGGGTCTGAGGGCGAAGACGTACTGCTGACTACAGAGGGGTGTGACAGCAGTAAGGTGTTTCCTTCGGACAACCAGCATCTGAAGCGATGCCGCCTTCTCACAAGGAAGGAAGGGTTAGAACGGGTCGACCCTAACAATGTCACACCTCACCCTACCTCACGGATTTCAGTCTCCGTCGGTAAGGGTGCTCACTAAGGGCTTTCAAGAGCGGCGCTAATCACCAAAAAGCCTTTCATCAAAAGGGCGTGCGTGACCGGCCTCAAGCAGTTGTCTCCTGGTCTCTGCGGTCACGCTCCCAGGTCGTTAAGACAAACACTAATCTACTTTCCTTTTCAGGTCCCTCCAGAAACAACCTTCCACGGTGTGAGAAGCTGGAAATTGACAACCGCCCTCCTACCCGTAACAGCACACGAGAGCCAATTGATCAAAATCAAATCCTTCCTACACCCACACATACCTCTATTATCTCCACGACTAACTCTTCTCACATTCATTCATCACAGTGCACAGCTAATGCAAACGATGCCAGTTCACAAAACGTCGTTCTTGGTCTCCTGAAACCCCGTTCTAAACTACATGTTGGAGCTTTTAATGTACGGACATTGTGTCAAATAGGACAACAGGCATCATTAGCTAGGACTTTAGAATCTCGTGCCATCGATGTGTCCTGCGTCTCGGAAACGCGCATACAGGATCCGAGTAGCATCATTCACTCAACCTCACCATATCAAGATAAAGAAGCAACTGGATTTAACCTTCGTGTATCCGATAGCCCTGATGCTACTTCTAGGGGCCTCGCTGGTGTAGGTAGAGCACTGAGTCGTAGGGCAGAACAATCTCTCCTAAAACGGGATCCCTGTGGATAGTCGCTTGTGCGCCGTCCGACTAAACAGGACAGTAAGGATTCGAAAGGATAAGGACATCGTCGTTGCCTCTTCATCATATCAGCCTACGCTCCCACTGACTGCAGTCCAGACGATGTAAAAGATGAGTTTTACAGAAAGCTTTTGGACCTCTTCCACAAAGTCAAGTGCTCTGATATAGTTACAATGGCAGGTGACTTCAATGCACAAGTAGGTAGACTAAATGAAAATGAAAGACACCTGGTGGGACGTTATGGAATCAAGGCTGAAACAACAGACAATTGTGACCGTCTGTTGCAACTGTGCTCAGATAACCACCTATTTCTAGCAAATACTAATTTTAAGAATAAGGAAAAGCATCCGTCGACCTGGCGATCCCCGAAGTCGTCTCAACGTTGGACGCAACTAGATCATATCGCCATCAGCCACCGATGGAGGGGTTCGATAGAGGATTGTCGCTCGTTCTGGGGCACATGTTTAGATTCAGATCATGCCCTAGTTCCAGCGCGTATTTGAGGCTTGCTGGACGTAGGAAAGACACCGTAAGGAAGCCTCTGAGGGCTTTACTTGATGATAATCAAGCTAAGAAAATATTTCAGGAGGAACTAGATAAACAGTTAGGCGACCATGCAAGTGATCCCCATACGGAGTTAGGTTGGAATGATATCAGGAAGGCAGTGGAAACAGCAGTGATATCTGCTAGCAAGGTAAACCATGAGGCTTGGATGAAGCCGTGGATTTCAATCGCATCCAACGAACTGATGGATGCTCGAAAACGCATCCCATCTAACTCTGAACATAATGAAGAGCGTAGTCAGCTTAGGCGTAGACTTATAAAAAGCCTACGTAACGACCGTGAACAGTGGTGGGTGGCGAAAGCAAAAGCGATGGAAAAGGCAGCGGCGATAGGCAACACTAGACAACTTTTCCGCCTTATCAAAGAAACCGGTAGTAGGAACCCGAACGTGAGTGAGACTGTCTCGGAAAAGGATGGTCTTATTATCCATTCTCAATCCAGGAGACTGGATCGATGGGCAGAACACTTTAGGGATCAGTTCAACTGGTCTTCAGCCACACTTCGGTTGCCCAGCATCCCCAGTCATCCGGAATGGCAGATCGATTTAAGTCCTCCTAGTCTACATGAAGTTGAGAAAGCGAGGTAGCGCATCAGTTCCTGATATGCTTACCCCTCAGGTGTTTAAGGACGGTGGTCCAGTTTTAACAGTTAGACTGACCGAGATCTTAGATAGAATCTGGGAACTGGACGTAATCCCATCTGACTGGTCTCATTCGCTAATTGTCCCAATCTACAAGAAAGGACAAAAGTCTTCTTGTGACAATCACATAGGAATAAGTCTAACTAATATAGTTTCTAAGTTGTTAGGCTCCATTATACTTAGACGTCTAACTAGACCTCGTTAAGAGCAGACTCCAAAACACCAGTCTGGTTTTCGACCTTGGCGTTGTTGTATAGACCACATTTTCACACTACGACAGGTCCTAGAACACAGACACACATTTAGACGTCCGACAATAGTCGTGTTCCTGGACCTAAAAGCGGCATTTGACTCAGTGGACCGTGAGGTTCTGTGGCAGTGTCTGTCATTGAAAAGTGTACCAAAGAAGTAAAGTTACCTTATACAAGCTCTTTACTCGAACACCACTGGTCGGGTGAGAGCATATGGCGAGCTGTCATCTGAATTCTCTACATCAAGTGGTGTCCGTCAGGGATGTCCACTCTCTCCATTCTTGTTTAACTTTATCGTAGACACCCTTTTAGAGTTAACATTAAGCTCGTCAGATTTTTCAGGGGTTGACCTTCTACCAGGAAAATCGCTTACTGACCTAGAATATGCCGATGACATAGTTCTAGTGGGTGAAGACGCTGACAAAATGCAGAGTCTTCTGACTACCCTAAGCAACAATGCGAGCATGTTCGGGATGCGGTTTTTAGCCTCGAAATGAAAAATGTTGCTTCGAGAATGGGTTGCTTCGGCACCTGAACTAGTGATAGGGAGTGAAGTAGTCGAGCGTGTAGATCACTCCACTTATCCGGGGAGTCTCATCAGCGCTGATAGCCTGGTGATTGACGAAATCTCGGCGCGGATACAGAAAGCTCGATTGGCTTTTGCTAACCTGCGTCACTTATGGCGCAGGCGTGATATCCGTTCGCTAACCAAAGGATGAGTGTACTGCACAGCAGTCCGCTCTGTTCTTCTGTACGGATACGAAACATGGCCAGCGAGAGTAGATGTTCGTAGGTTACTAGTTTTCGATCATCGATGTCTCCGAAGCATTGCTCATGTATCATGGAACAACCGAGTAAGCAGTGCTGTCGTTAGGAAACGAGTACAAGGTAAGGATGGCAAATCAATAGATGAAGTAGTGAAACTTCATCAGTTGAGGTGGTTGGGACATGTGTTACGTATGGCCAACCACCGACTGCCTCGACAAGCTATGTTTTGTGGTGTAGGAGTAGATTGGAAGATAGCTAGGGGCGGCCAGACCAAAACATGGCATAAATCCATGAAATCACTGACAAGTGGATTGAGTCATGTTGGTAGATGTAGACTACGTGGTTGGGGTCCACGAGACGATAGTAATCGATGGTTAGAGACCTTGAACGACATGGCTCAAAATCGTTTGCAATGGCGCAAGTGCATCCATTACTTGAGCTCTCTCAAATCCTAATCTTCTGGATTCGTCAGCACCTCTACCCTTGTCTTTTTAACCTTATGTCACTGAATTATACTTCTTGAATAATATCTTCGAACCCTAGACATCTTCATTAACAATAATACCCCTCTATGTTTATCAATATGGGATTTGATTTGACATTTGCGTCTCTGTGTTCATGTGGTATGGCAACATGAACTTATGTACATTCGTACGAAGTTCTTACGTTGCAACTGACTGACTGACCAGTGACATATTAGTTTCTATGAAATCGGTTTATTGGTGATTTTACCAACGACCTCGCACTTATTTGTTAACCTTCATATTGGTCGTATATTATTTACTGTTGTCTTTAGTAGTAGCAGTATTAGTATTAGTATTATTATTAGTAATAGTTGTAGTAGTAGTAGTAGAAGTAGTAGTAGTAGTAGTAGTAGTAGTAGTAGTAGTAGTAGTAGTAGTAGTAGTAGTAGTAGTAGTAGTAGTAGTAGTAGTAGTAGTAGTAGTAGTAGTAGTAGTAGTAGTAGTAGTAGTATTGTATTTAACTTACCTAATGAAAGTATGACTTAGAATAATAGAAAACAGATAAACGTATATTCGTTTCAGTCTGATAGAACCAGCATTATGGATTTTTAGATTTTACTTTTGCATCAAGAAGTTTGGAAATTTAATTGATGCGTAGTTTGAGCAAGCTGTACAACATTAATTCAAACATTTGAACTTAATTTGTTCAGCTACTTACTATAAGCGGTCTGAACCTGTATAAAATGATTCAACATTAATAAAGTGTTTTTGTGTTTCATTTAATTCATAGTGTTAGGTAAATTATTTATCAGTAATGAAAATAATGACCAGTATGATTGAGAGTGTCATATTGAAACTGTAAGTAAGACACTTCATTTACTAATTAAGCATTTAATCTTAAATTATCAGCTGTAAAAAAGTTTTTTATGTTAGATCTACAAAAACTAAAAATAATCAATGTATTTGTAAAACTAATTCACTAATTAATTAACAAACTAACCAGTATACAGTACTGAATTATCCAGTGCCATATGACAAACACAAGCAGCCTGTGTGAAATCGTCTGAAGCAACACATTGGCCACCATTAAGACATGTTAAACCCCAATAAATCACAGAATTCGAATAGATATTTTGATGTTCTTTTGAAACAATTGCAAATGTTTTACTACTTTCAACATGGAAACGTGAATTCATTAGGAAATCAGTAATTTGGATTGTATGACAAGGATTGACTCTTCCAAAACAATTCGGTTCAGTAGTATGAAGTAATGGTTGATAATTTCCTAAACATATACAATCATAATAATCGGTTCCTAGAATCGGTTGACAAATATTTCCTAAATGAATTTGACAATTATAATCTCCATTCGACTGAGACTAAAATATTGATAAAAGTTGAAAAAAACAAATGTAATTCATTAGGAAATCAAAAATGTATGTCGAGTGTAACTAGAAAAAATAATAATTTGTGGAATGAGTTAACTCCCATCTAATAAAGCTACTTAACAGGAATGATTTCTATTTTTTTAAAAATTTAAACCCTTCATAAATTGATTGAAATTAAAAATGAATGCAAACATGTCTTACTGTAATAATGATAACTATAAAATAAATAGTCTATACATCACAAGGTGGTAAATATATATATATTTATGTATGCTACACTATATTACAAGTACAGAATACTTTAAAAGTCATAGCTCTAGATGATTAGTATGTGTTGTAGGAAAACTTCACAATTGTTCAAAGGTGGATAACACTACTGAATGTCGGGGTAAAAATGCTAAACATTACCAATATTCACATAGTATGCCGATGTATGGAATGAGACGAAAAGTCAGTCAGTCAGCAACAACTGAGTATTTCGTACGTACGTACGTTAGTACGTACTTATATCAGTTCAAGTTGTCATAACACATTAGCACAGAGAGATTGAATACTCAATTCAAATCACATAGTGGTAGATTTAGTCGAAGTATGAGCTGTAATCGGAAAGATTAAAGTTTCAAGATGTTATTCAAGCGGTATAATCTAGTGAAATAAATTTTGAGAACAGAAAGATCAAAGTGATGAGGAATTCGGATTCGAATTTCAGAGAACCATGGTCCAAGTATTTTAGTAACATTTGACGGAATCACTTGAAATACTTCGACGATTGAAAGTTGAAAGTCAACAGGATACATTTCTCTCTAACAGAAAGTAAGTAAATGATGCTGAAAGTATTATTAATGATTGGAGATTTGAATGTTTCACCATGAAACTTCACACAGTCAAAGTTAAAGAAAACAATGCAGAGGTAAGTCTACTTTAAAGAATAAAAAACGAAGCAAGATTTAACGTGATTATCTGTTTTTTATCAGCCATATCTTGCTTGATCTGATGATATTTTTTCAAAATTAAGAGTGAAATCATTGAAAGTTCTGCGTTATTCATCATCTACAATGAAAGATATATATTATTAGAAAGACAATCATTGAAATATTGGTTAATTTGATTATTTTTGATAAACATACACGCATCAATCTCCCGATGAAATAGATCAATCATTGTAGAGCATCAATCATAAAGCAAGATCTCTCATCATTGATGATCAATTACACTCTGATCCATGAACTATTTGTGAATAAATCATTGTCTCTATGATCAAAACCAAAACAAAACAAAACAAATCTATACTACTTCACACATACTTTATTGACTCGTTCATGACATGCATCACGTGGCAGTGAACAGTCAATTCCCATATAATCCGGTTTACAAATACATTCATATGCGGAACTATTATAAGCAATACATTGAAGAATGTTTTCAGGTATACACACTGGGAAGCGTTTTCTATCACATGGATTAGTTGGGAGACAAGTCTTCAAGCTTCTATCCCATATCATATCTTCTTTACAGTTACATTCATAATCATTCTTGCAATACATATAAAAATAAGAAATATTTACACATATATATATATATATATGTATATATTTTTTATTGAATTTTCATGTTGAATATTTTCTACCCATGATTTTTGCACATATCAAATTCAGAACACAGGAAATGGTTACAGACTAATTAAGAAAGCCAAACAAATTCTCTTCGAACATGTTCCAAATAAAATACTTCTATTTGAGACAATTAAATGACTGACTGGTTAAAACAGTAAGATCTCTCGTCTTTTTCAATTCATCTCATGTCATTTAGACTAGAATTTAATGATGTTAGATTAAGCCTTAGTAAATGGTAAACGACCGATCGATTTTGTATCTCCACTATCGGTTTGCATAAAATCACAGTCACTAATAACAGAACTCAAACACATTCATGTTCGATCACATATCACTTAATTATACTGCCTGACTAATGGAAAATATTTCAAAGTACTCAGTCAGTCAGTCAGTCAGTCACAACGTAGAACTTCGAACGTACGTTCATCAGACCAAGTCGCCATACCACAATAGCACAAAGATGCGATGGTCACTTTAAATCCTATAGTAGCAGAGGTAGTAGAATTATTAACAGTAATTGAGAAGATTAGAATTCGAAGATACTGTGCATGGAGTGTAATTCAATGAGATAAATTTGGGAGAAGAAAGAGTCAGTTTTCTGGGAATTTCCGCTTTCCTTATAGGTATTTCAAGTTTTAATACTGTACATCTCACAAGTGACTAATGATTATACAAGTGACATGTACAGATCACATCATATCAGTTAGTGTCAATACCAATAAACATGGTTTAAATCATGTAAAAATAACTAAATGATGATTGGCTTACAATTCCTGAGTACGTTTGTCACTTGAATTATTATTACGATTAGATGAAATTGCACTGACTATGATGATTTGATGATCAGCTAGAATGAACAATGCCGTTCTGTAGAAGTTCATTTACAGTACTGAATGATTCCGATTTGAATCATCCGAGAGTTGCTTATTCTCTTGAAAACTTTCACTTGTCTAATAGATTTTTACACTTCCTTTCACAATCAATATCTATGCCTAATTTACATAATTACAAGTTATTTTACTAATTAGAATGTAATCACTTCTACATTTGTTGTAAATGTAATAGTAGCTAGAAAAATAGTGAGTTGAAATTGTTTCTTTGCTCACACTTAACTAATTCATGAATACCTCAAAAGTACCAGTAACATGACAAATATGATTCTTCACACCACGAGTACTTTTACATGGATTACCAAAACATGGATTTGGACAACCGATTTCTATGTCCTCGAGAATATTCTTCTGTTGAATATCATTGAAATTGTGAAAATTTGCCCATGCCTAAAACAATAATTATATGAAGAATAATCATAGTGTTAATACAAGTTAAAAAAGATTAAATTATATCATCAGTTGAAAGTTTTTTTTGAATGTTTCTTTTAAGTCATTTGGTGGAGATCATTCTAAACTTATTTATTGATTTATTCATAGAATGAATATGACAAGTTGGCTGAAGCAACAGCCTTTCAAATGTTTACACTACACTGAACTATTTTCATCCAATCAATCCTTGTTTAGTGTGTAGTGCATGCTCTACAATTCACCATTTTCAACAACTTTTTCATTGACATTCTTCAGCTCACTAAGGTCATTTTTCACTCACTCACTCACTCACTTACTCTCTTTGCAATGATGATTGTTGAAGATGTTCTTTTGTCTCTAAGGATTCATTCTGTTTTCTTCACTTCGATAATTTCAACAGGTTAGTCAGCTGCAAACTAACCAAAGTTCCTGATTTATTTTATTTTTCTGAATGATACCTATGCTCTTTAACAAGATTTCATCAAATTAAACACAATACATTTATACAAAATAAAAAAATACAAAATGAATACACTCATATCCAAATGATTTCTATATATTAAAAGATCCAATCAGTGTATAGTTTGATACGAGATAATTAAACTTACTCGTGTATAGTTTGCAATAGGCCTTTAGATGAAATGGTAAACTTTTTTCTCAATAAGAGTTATGAAGATTAGTGTTTTTACACAATTGAAATCATCAATTAGTCATTTTTAGACCACCATTAGAAACCTGGAATCACTGGACGGCCGTTTCGACATGGTGCGGGACTCACCAGCAGTGCGTATCCAAGACTTCTGCACCTCGCAAGATTTGCACCCGGGACCTTCGGTATTGTGCGCGAACGCCTAACCTTTGTACCACTGAGCCGGCATCCAACGGTATTAATGTCTAACTCTGATTGATCTAGGGATTTTGCGCGACCTTACCCATTTGTCTTCAGTAGTTACTGCCTACACCCCACAGAGTTGAACTCCACCGGTCACGTTTTTTTATTGACTACAATACTGTTTTGTTGATAGATACTTTCATTGACCTTCGACATTTGGCTTTTTTTTACCGAAAACTACTTCAACATGTGATCATTTATATTGTGAACTAGACACTACAACCTTTGAAATTTATGCAGCACTGCATCTCAAATTCTTTGAATAAATTGTATACTTAATGTTGTGAACAAATTATACAAAATCGTAGGGGAAAAAACTTACCAAGCAAATTTAGTAGGAACAGTCTAATTCATTCATTAAAAATCCTACCAGAAAACTCTTATCCAGAGAATATGAAAGTGATGCAGTGTCGAACGGCAAGGGAATTGTTAGTTTTGAACTTTGTCAACCAGTAGTCAATTTACTAACTTTTACTTTGGTATTCTGTTGACCATAAGACACACTTCTAAGATCAAGCTACTAATTTTACTTAAGAGAATAATGAAAATTATTGCACAGTATCACCAACTAGCTTAAGTTAGAAACGTAAATCACTTGACCAGTAACTCAGTGATGTGAATATTAAAAACTCGTACAATGGAGTATTGTATTTAATACAATTCATTAGACAGTGAATAAGTGATTAGATTTAAGTAACAGACAATGTTATGATTTCAAATAAAAAGTTTTGTACATATACTGGTCAATATTTTTTTCAACTAATAAAAATTTTATCTGATGTTAAATAATAAACTCGGTTAATCAAAATCTAAAAGGAAAAAGATTTGAATACGACTCACTTTTGTACACCACAAATAGGCAAATGTTAAACCAACATCAATCTGTGGGTCTCTTAACATTGTCTCAATGGCCTTTGCGTTCGACGGCAATGTTGAACAGCCTGGATAATTAGGATGTTCACAACACCTCCATGTTTTTGAATTATCCTCCATACATGAGTCTAAATATAGTTTATTTCTAAAATTATTAAACGAGTCTTTTAACCTTGAATTCTGGTCGAATATGATCGAATCATATTTCGACCAGAATGAATATCCTTTAAAAATGAATAATAAAATTCATAAAGTCAGTTTCAATTTATTTAGATCAAAAAGATTATTTCAAACAAATTTCAAACTACTCAATAAATATGAAAAATGTGAGTGATAGTGACAAATAACTGTTTGTAATGTTTTATTAAAACTTACTCACTTTGTGAATTAAGCAAACTACTAGTAATTTGATCGATCGCTCGTATATATACATATTTTGTAGTGATTTCACTTTTTTACAAAGAAAAACACGATTGTTTAAATAACAGCAGCCATTATTATAACCAACTGAACCAGTGAACGTTTTACAGAACATTCGTTTATCTGTACTTTTGTACCGCGCTCACTTATTCATGAAGTAGCCATCTTGCTTTTGCTGCTCCATACCCTTTGTAGAAGAAACTAAATTTTCACGTTCCCACTGCTTTTTTAATCAGAAACTAAAGCCATTGAGGAATTCTCCCGAAAAAATATTTTTGTAAAATTATTGTTTTCAATATTCTCACTGTCAACTCACTTTATTGAGGAGCATCACGCTAATATGTGGTGAGTCACGGATAAAATTTTGAAACCTCAATAAGTGCTATTTAGCTCTCATACTTCGTTTTACAAATTTTAATCGATTGAACACCTTGGTATTTCTGATAATTTGCCACATTGAAAAAACCATGAAAGTATACCCAGTTTGTAGTTGCTAAAAGAATGACAAGGCCAGTTGTTTGAATACGCTTGATTATTGGAGAGTAAACGAAATAGCCAACCGAAGAATTTCGACAGAAACTTCATAAAATTATCAAATGGGCTAAAATCCAACTGGGACGTTACGCTGTGTAGAATGAAAGCACTAATTGATTAGTCCTGAGGACAACATTGATGAAAATAACGGTGTTCATGAAAAAAGCTAATCGATTTGTCTACAGGTTGTTAACTTTTTTAGAATAAAATATTACTCTTTGTATCCCATATATCTGTCAATTACACACTTGTATCCGGAGCCATGTCTGTGATAGGGTTTGAAGAAAGCTGTGGGTTAGCAAAATATGTATGGCATCAGCCAACAAACTCACTAACTATCTTCTTGATCTTATCATAAAGTATAAGTTACTGTTTAAGTCATTCTATTTAATCATAATTGATAGTGGTGGAACTCAAACAGTGTGAGGTAGGATTTTGAACATTGAACAATTCGAATTTACACCTTATTTTACACTGATTATCGATTTTGTTCTCTCTGTCTTTATGACTTTTGCTACCATCTCTTTATACTGGACAACTTTTGATTTGTTTAACTTTCTATTTTAGTTGAAATCTTTTCAACTTCATTTTTTTCTTTTTACACTTGTATGTATGCGAATACAGATTAGATATATTATGAGGTGCTTGACTGATTTGATTACGCATAACTAGGGTGAAATATATGATATGTAAAAGTTAAAATACTGGTTTTATATTTCAATAAAAAATCTAATCATTTAATCACTTTCAATCAAATTTCAACGTATTTACAAATTCCAGTTGAATCAGCATATCAGTCAACAAAATAAATAGATAAGAAACCAATTTTAAAATTATTTTGCAACTGAATTTAACTTATTCAAATGAGATGTGATCTGTTAAATCCATTCACATGAGTTGATAGGTGAAAGGCAATAACTATGTAGAATCAACTGTCTGTTTCAAGATAATGTGGGACCGGAAAAATACGATAATTCAGTTTACAAATACATCCGAAATTTTCTCTAATTAAATTCATAGACTTTTCAAATATGAACTTTGAAAGCATATGGTAACTCATTATATTCTTACTGTTGAATTAATTATGGTTATGATTAGTTTTTGAAAAGAGTATTTCCGTAGATTGTCTTGCTTAGCTAAATGTTAAAACAGACTGTATGGTGTTGTCTTTGAAGAATACACCATTAACAAGACCTGTAATTAAGTAATGAAGTTTTACATTTAAACTCCCCATGACGAAGAGCATATCACAGCCAATTTTACATTTATCATAAAGAAACGAGATTGAAAGTTCTTTCGCTTCCAAAGCATCCGACATATTTTAGAAGACTTTCATCGTTGAAATTTCAATATTTTGTAAGACATATGAACTAACAGTCAAACTAATCTCAATGTCGTTGATACTATTTTGTCTTGTCCTTCAGTCTAGACTTTCCCATACTAATGACAACGTAACGCTTGACCACTGTACTGATTTGTCGAGTACTAAAAATTTCAACTGACAAATAATTCCTATTTACAAATTAGACACCGAATTTAGCAAATGGGCCGATGTTTTGCGAACTTTTCATTGTGATAACTGCTGCTTATATATTTGAAATTTTAGATGTAAACACATCAAAGACATATGAATATGATAATTTCATAACATTGGACTACGTGGTGTGGAAAATAACAATGAGATTGTACGTGCAATTAAAAAGTCTTGTGAAAATAGATTGTAATGTGAGTGTTCTAAAACGATTAAACGATTTTTGATACAACATAATATAAAGTAACAGAGAGGTTAAGTAGAAGGAAAAGCTATCAGAAACAATCATAAGTAAAGTCACTGGTATATGAGAATTAACTAAAGAGAAAGGATATCTTCAGACGTAAAATAAAACTATAATATTCTAAAATTGTTTTAAAATCAACCAATGAATAGGTGGAGTGATTGAAATCGATTAAATGTCCCAGAAATCCTGACCGTGGTTTATATACCCTTCGCCACATCATCAGGTTAATTGTTAGTTGCATATAGAGGCAACAAGATGACAGGCTCTAACCGAAAATTAACTTCTTGTGAACATCATTCGCAGCTTCTCAGCGAAAGAACATTCTATTTAAAGCCTGTTGTTAATACGTTAAACTTATACGGCTTTTCATTTGTACACACTCAATGTCCCATTGTTATTGTCTACACCATGTAGTTCAATGTTATATTATCATTATGTTCATATGTCCTCTATGAAAACATACTTATAATTCCAAATGCAAATACAGTTTTACAGTTCGATGATAAATTCGTTAAAAATAAGCCCGTCCACCCAACTTTATGTTTGTGATGTTTAAATATAGAAACATAAAAATCGGCACTTTGCAATACTGTTTCCGTCTCATGATTTAACGTCCATTTCCGTGGTAATGGTAACTGTGAATAGTGTCCTTGATCGTATACGAACTTAGTAGCTTTCAGAGTTGTTCTGTTAGACTGCTAAAGTACATGGAAACAAACTTTTGGGGTGTATTCTCGGAAACGCTGCCTAATTTTGTACAATTTCTTGAGTTAAATAAGAACTATCGTGGTTTTATTTGTTTACTTCTGCTAAACTTATCCTCACAGGGCTAAAACGATTTCCTTTTTTACACTAATTATCATCAACAAAACCTTTCGAAAATGCATTAAGAATTCACCTATAAATTTCACAAACAGTTGGAAATAACGAGTTTTCTATAAAACTCAACAGATGTTCATCACTTATTTGCGTCAGTCGTCAGTATTATTTCTGATTTCGTCCAAGTCATGGTTTACCAAGTAAACTTAGTGAGGTCAGCATCAATGTTGATGTTGAAGACTGAGAGAAAAATAACGCATTTTGAGTTTCTCTAATCTTGGACGATCAATAGTGATATACAGTCATATGCATTTCGTGTTTGTGATACTGGTGAGATGCAGTTTTACATTTCACTAAGTCTGAAAAGGTAAGTTGAATACATTTAGCGAAAACGTAACCATAGAACAGGTGAAAATAACTTAGGATTTTTAATGCCAGTGTGTGAACCCCGAAAAGTTAAAAAGAAACAAACACGTATGAAACTACATGATTCACACCTGCATCATTGTCAGAAGATCCTTTATAAATATCAGGGAAAATAACTGTCCCCCAGACACCTCTTGGAAAACCTCTGTTGTATTTTTTAAGAATATTACTCATTTCCACTGAATTTAGGAGAAAATCGAAAGACTTGAAGTTAACTGGCTTGACTTCATTCTGGTCTTGACGAAAATGCATCCACGATTCCGTAGAACTTTTAGTGCACAACAATAAACGTAAGTGAAATATGATTAACAAAACAGAGCAGTCAAACATGACTGAAAACAAAGATAAACAATAAATCCACTATCAGATAATAAAAAGCAGTGGATTTATGTGAGCTCGCTTCAAACGTTTAGCCAAAATGTACCATGTGTGCTAGGAGCAGAATTTGTGGTTATCTGAAAGAAATAAGAATGGGAGAAAAGGTGAGTCGAAAACTCAGAATGAGCTTACATGTATCAGATAAAACATCGGATAATAATCAGTACTAACACAAGCATAAGATTATGACAAACTGTTAACTGGAACTGGGGTTGGTAGAGTAAGATTTCAAATTAGTTACATTGACCTTGTTTGTAAGTGTGGAAATGGTGTTGTCATAGTAATCCAATAGCCAATATATTTTTACTAGTTGATATGATTCAATTGATTTCGTTGTGCTCGATTCTTGATATTTTGGTGCAGTTCCATATATTGTGCCCAAATGATAGAGGTCTAGTTACTCTACTGCACTAATTCTAACCAGTCGACAGTTGTTTGTGAGTTTGTATGTCGTATTATTTGGATTAGTAAGGTTTTTCAGGAAAATAGGGTTTCTGGATAACAGCAGATGTCATTTTACTATCAAGGAGGTCATTCAGTTGCAATGCGGAGAATGAAGAGGTAAAATCTTATGCCAATAAGAAGATTCCGGAACAAAGTAAATAAATGGATAGTTTAGTTTATTGATTGGTTGTGACGATTATATGAGAGGACAGAAGTGTAAGCAGGGAAGGGGAAACAGAAATAGTATGTTGGGTAGATTAGGTTAGTGATCTGGAGAGTTGGTAATAATAACAACTAGCAAGTTTCAAAGCAAGCATCAGGCACAGCTGGTCCAAGGACGTGGAGATGATGCATCAGTAAGGTGCTCACTGTGAGATGGTTTGGAGTGCTTATGTGTTGTTCCACATCAATATACCACCTCTGATCCGTCTAAAACGCAATGCCTGAGCCTATCAAATACACTTTATACACACAACTTATGTTCTCATTCGTTCAATAATACGCCAATCGGATTCTAATACGTATGTTGTCTACATTTATAGACTACAGTCATACGTATAAACTACCTTACGGATATTTACATTAATTATATTACTAATCTCCAATAATTGTGGATTTTTTAGTACTAATCACAACCGAACACGCACAAGCAGCCGTATAAAGTAACGTCCTTACATTTTTTGATAGTATTTATTACATTTAATCGATATATTTCAATATACATCTGTTTGTATTCAATAACTTTGTTGATATTTTGAAATAATACATTGATTGGTCCACAACAATTATTTGGTGAGCCTGTGTTTATGCCATTTGTTATGCTACTATAATTTTTTTATTATTATTTTTGGCTAGACCATTTTGTTTATATCTCATACGGCTATATTTGTACTAAATCACTTACAATGGACTCTCTCCCAGCTAATGTTATTAGCCTTCAACAACAGCAAATAGCTCGGCTCACAAACCAGATTGATTCACTACGAGCCTCAATAGCTATGATTAACACGAAACAAACTTTATTTTTTCCTAGAAGAAGGTCAAGATCCCGACATCGCTCTAGATTTCCGAAAAGGCCAACTGGCGTTTGTTGGTACCATCAAAAGTATGGTGACAAAGCTCGTCGCTGCCTAAAGCCGTGCACTTTCCCTGCAAGCAGTCAAGAATCACAGGGAAACTGGCCAGCCAGACAGTGATGGCGGCGACTGCTTCGGGCCATGCTACTAGCCGTCTGTTTCACATCAGGGACAGAATTTCGGGCTCAGACTTCTTAGTCGATACAGGAGCCGAAATAAGCATTATCCCTCTCCACCTTTCACGACGGCAACACATCACCCACAGCAAAATAACACTCCAGGCAGCAAATGAAACAATCATCCAAACTTATGGGGAACAATCCCTTATACTCGACCTTAGCCTCAGACGACGTTTCACATGGGTCTTTGTAGAGGCACAAGTCAAACAGCCTATCCTAGGAGCAGACTTCCTTACTGCCTATAATCTGCTAGAAGATGTGCGTGCCAAACGACTAGTCGACAATCAGACACGTCTACACGTAAACGGCACAACTAATAACATTTACGAAATTCATGCAGTACGTTTAATTAAGCCTATTAATCAACCTTTCGCCGACCTCTTAACCTCTTAAATATGATGGCATTACCAAGGTTGACTATCGGAAGGAAGGCACTTTACATCACGTACTTCATCACATTACTACTACTGGTCCTCCCGTCTGCGCCAAACCAAGGCGACTGCCCCCACATAAGCGTCAAATTGCCAAAAAAGAGTTTGAACACATGATGCAGCTGGGTATCATCCGTCAATCAAACAGCCCATGGGCTTCGCCACTACACATGGTACCAAAGAAAGATCAGGACTGGCGCCCATGTGACGATTATCGACGTTTGAAACGCGCAAACAAGATCCGAAGAGCATTGTTCACTTGACCTCACCATGTCGAGATAAAGAAGCGAATCGATTTACACTTCGTGTATCCGGTAGCCCTGACACTGCCTCCAGGTGCCTCGCTGGTGTATGTATAGTAGTAAGTCGTACGGCAGTACAATCCCTCGTAGACTGGATCCATGTAGTCCATCCGATCTAAATGATGGGATCTACAAAAAGATTTCCGAACTCTTAAAAAGAGGGAGCCACTACCGAAGAGTCCATTTTGAAGGCTTCGCTTTTCGGGAAAAACCCTCCATGTATGTATTTGGGTTATGATCTTGGTCGAATATGATCGAATCATATTTCGACCAGAATGAATATCATTTAGAAACGAATAATAAAATTCATAAAGTCAGTTTCAATTTATTTAGATCAAAATGATTGTTCCAAACAAATTTCAAACTACTCAATAAATATGAAAAATGTGAGTGATAGTGACAAATAAATGTTTGTAATGTTTTATTAAAACTTACTCACTTTGTGAATTAAGTAAACTACTAGTAATTTGATCAATCGCTCGTATATATACATATTTTGTAGTGATTTCACTTTTTTACGAAGAAAAATACGATTGTTTAAATAACAGCAGCCATTATTACAACCAACTGAACCAGTGAACGTTTTACAGAACATTCGTTTATTTGTACACTTGTACCGCACTCACTTATTCACGAACTAGTCATCTTGCTTTTGCTGCTCCATACCTTTGCCTGATTCTCTGGCACCTTTCGGTATTCTCTGGATGTGTTTTAGTTATAATGGCTGTATTGTTTTATGCTCAAATAGCTATACTAAATGAGCAGTAAGGACACATGTGTGAATCTTATGTTGTCGCGGCTAATGGAACTGACAATGGCTGCTTTCTTTTTCAACTGTGCTCAGATAATCAACTGTTTCTAGCAAACACTAACTTTAGGCATATGGAAAAATCTCTGTTGACCTGGTTACCTCCAGAGTCGTCTCAACTTTGAAACCAACTAGATCAAATGGCCATCAGCGACCGATAGATAGGTTCGATAGAAGACTGTCGCTCGTTCTGGATCACATTTCGAGATTCAGATCATAGTCTAGTGCGGGCGCGTATTTGTTTGAGGATTACTGGACGTAGGGAAGGCACCGCAAGGAGACCTCCAAGGACTCTATTTTGCGATAATAATGCTAACAACATATTCTAGGAACAACTAGAAAGAGAGTTAGGCAACTATGTAAGTGATTCCTATCCGGAGGCAGCTTGGTATAATATCAAAAAGCTGTGGAAGCAGCAGTGATATCTGCTAGTAAGGTAAACCATAAGCCTAGGATGAAGCCGTGGACCTCAGTAGCATCCATCAAACTGATGGATATTCGAAAACACATGCTACCTGCCTCTGAACATAATGAAGAGTGAAGTAAGCTTAGCGCAGGCTGATAAAATGCCCACGAATCGACCGTGAACAGTGGTGGATGGCGAGAGGAAAAGCGATGGAAAAGGGAAAGGCGAAAGGCAACAGCAGACAGTTGTACGAACTTATCAGAGAAACCGGTATTAGGGAACCGAATGTGAGTGAGAATATCTCGGAAATGGATGGGACTCTCATTAGTTCACAACCTAGGAGATTGACAACAGTAGGCAACTATTTAGACTCATCGAAGAAACTGGTATTAAGAACCCAAATGTAAGTGAAACTATTTCGGAAAAAGATGGTCCGAATATCCATTCTCGATCCAGGAGACTGAACCGATGGGCAGAACACTTTAGGGATCAGTTCAACTAACCTCGAGCCACTCTTCGGCTACCCACTATCTCTAGTCATCCGGAATGTCAAATCGACATAAGTCGTAGTCTTTGTGAAGTTGAGAAAGCGATAGGAAATAAGAATGGAGGCAGAGCTGCAGGTGCTGATATGCTTACCCCAGAGATTTTTAATGATTTTGGTCCAGTATAAACAGTTAGATTGACCGAGATCTTAGGTAGAATCTGGGAACTGGACACGATACCATCCAACCGGTCTCAATCACTGATTGTCTCAATTTATAAGAAAGGACAAAAGTCTTATTCTGACAATCACACGGGAATAATATAGTTTTTAAATTGTTAGCCTCGATAATACTTAGGCGCCTTGTTAGAGCTCGTGAGGAGCCAAGCTGGTTTTTTCGACCTGAACGTGGATGTATAGACCACATCTTCACACTACGACAGGTCCTGGAACACAGACACACATTTAGAAGTCTTATAATAGTTGTGTTCCTGGACCGTACGGCGGCATTAGACTCTGTGGAACGTGAGGTTCTGTGTTAGTGTCAGTCATTGAAAGGTGTACCAAAGAAGTACATTAACCTTAAACAAGCTCTCTACTCTGAAACTACGGGTTACGTGAGAGCTCATAGCGAAATGTCATCAGGATTCTTTACTTCGAGTGGTGTTCGCCAGGAATGTCCTTTATCTCCATTCGCGTTTAATTTTGTCACAGACATGCTGCTAGATATAACCTTATCCCCGTCTGACTTTACAGGAGTCGATTTTCTACCAGGAGCCACGCTTGCTGATTTAGAATATGCCGAAGACATAGTCCTATTTGATGAAGACGCTGACAAACTGCAGATTCTGCTTACTACCCTAAGCAACAATGCAAGCATGTCCAGAATGCAGTTCTTCCTCTCGTAATGCAAAGTGTTGCTTCAAGATTGACTTGCGTCGGCACCTGAACTAGTATTAGGGAGTGAAGTAGTTGAGCGTGTCGACCGCCTCACTTATCTAGGAAGTCTCATCAGTGCTGACGGCCCGGTGACTGACAAAATTTCACTTTGGATATAGAAGACTCCATTGGCTTTTACCAATTTACGTCATTTATGGAGTAGGCAAAGATCGAGTCTGTTGCG